TCCCCCAGATCACGCGAGCGGGTTGGGGGAGTTGTACAGAATACCTCGCTGGATGGTTTGAAGTCAATTTGGCGGACAGTTTTCAAACAGCGTATGCAGATGAACAGCTCTCAGCGTTTCCGAGCAATGCAGTAGTGCCACGGAGGCAAGGTTTTATCAAGTAGGGGAAGTGACACGCATTCTCCCTTCATGCTCCAACAAAAGACATGCCAGGCAGCCTTCCAAGATCTGTCTGCACCGTCAGTGCAAGGAGAGATAACTGGTTATCTTGACAAGTTTATTTTTCCATCTTTGTTCATGCTGCTTCTTCTTTTGTCCTCCCTTTTTTCAGCTGCCTCGTCCTTCCTCTTCCACTGTTCTTGCCCTATGTTTTATCCTGCCTTTCCGTCTGCCTTTCCCAAACTTTTCTACAGGTTTCCAATGGCTCTGTTATCACACATCTCCTCTTCCTCTGCCAAGAACAACACTCGGGGATTTCTGTTTGGGGCTTGAACAAGCCCTCGTGTTTATGTAGCGCACCTGGACATTTAGATAGCACTTTTTTACGGAGATCTCAACATGCTGAAGCAGGACCACTTGGGCAGTAGATGTGTCTCGGCATCTCTGGTTTAACTGGGGGAAGACGGAAGCACTGAGAAGACAAATCTGTTGCTGAAGGTCGCACACAAAGCCATGGGCAGCTCCAGCAGTAGACACAGGGAGCACATTTTGGATGGTGCCTCCAGGAGAGAAGTACTACACGGAAATGTCCATGTGCCCTGGGAAGCAGATGACTCCTGAGACCACCCTGCATCTCCCAGCCTCTGGTTACACCTGAAGATAAGGGGTTATTCTAGCAGTTTCTTTAAAGTCCAGCAATAAAAGGTGTTGTACCACCAGCCACAAGCCGGTCTCCAGTTGCCTGACTGCGTGTTTTGCCCAGAGCCAACGGTCATGTTGTTTTTCTGAGCTCTGTGCCCTGATCTTTTGTCAACACAGTTGCCTTTTTTTTTTTGGTGGTGGTTGGTTTTTTTTTTTTTATTGTACAAGTTCCTCACCCTGGTTTTAATCATGGCCTCGCTGAGAACTTTTTTCACATGCAAAATGTAAGCAAGGCAAGCGTTTCATTGCTGGCTGATCCACGTAAGCCCTCAGATCAGCATGGAAAGCATCCTTGTGCTTCATCTTCATGATTATGTTTTCCCACCGCCTCCACCTGGACTTAACAACTATTTCCAGCTCATATGAGCTGCTGAAATCTAATTTCATCTTTGCTTTTGCCGAAAGCGAGGAACGAAGAGAGGGAATAAACCTGGAGTCGTGCTTGCTGAGCACCACTCCGCTGCCATCTGCGGCTCTGCAGAAGGAGCCGGTGCCCAGGAGGCTGACAGGAAACCAGCAGCTTTCCCAGGAAAAAAAAGCCCTGTGTCCTCTGTGCTGCTCTCGTTCGCTGGTGGCTTGGAATTAAAACCTCCTCCTCCAAACCCCAAAGCTACTTTTGCCAGAGACAAATCATTACCTTGGAGCCGGTCTGCAGCATGACAAAATCAACTCAAGGAGGGAAGGGGGAAAAAAAAAAATCTCTCTCTTGACAAGCACGTTAGATTTTCAAGGGAAGGAGAAATTGTTGTTGAGAAAAACAGAGAGAGAAGTGAGAGGACTGTCAAACTGGGTTAAAAATAACTACCTGGGTATTATCTCCTTGCACAGGAGTGTCTGCGCGACTGCAGCATTTACGCCACGTCAGTCAGGCCGTGGTTGTGCTGGAGATTACTGTAAATTAAAGCCATAGGCAGGTAAGCTGGAAGAGAGGTTTCTGAAGGAGGATGCTCCCAGGAGGCTGGGACTGGGTGCCGAGGAGGGAAACATCCCCGGGCTGCGGAGCAGCAGGCCCGGAGGGGATGCAGGCACAGGCTGCCCGCGCTGGGGACGTTCCCCTGGGAGGTGGCCCTGTGCTTGGGCTGCTGGGTGCCCTTGGGTGGAGCTGGTGGCCCTCCAGCGTGGCTGGGAGCTCTGTGCCACCACGGGGGCTCAACCCCATCCTGCACATCCTGGGGTTCTTGCGGGGACGGGTGGGTGTCTGCTGCTGGCAGCTGGGACGAGCGAGCGGGCTGGGGCACTGGGGGGGCTCTGGCTGATGTGCCCTCCGAGCATCTCCCACAGAGCTATTTTTAGTCTCTTTTTACAGAAGAGGATGGAGGTAGCGATGCCCCGGGGGTGGGTGTTATGCCCTGCCAACGATACCTGCGCCCACCTTGGCCATGGCACAGCTCCGACGCAGATGGGGAGCTGCAGCTCCCGGTTCTTCTCCCACTTCCAATTCCAGTTATGGAAAACACCCACAAACCTGAGAGACGGCTTCTGGCCGCTGGGACAGACCGTTTGCAGTCTTGCTGTCTAACACAGCTCTCTTACCACCTGAAAATACCTGGTGGTCCAGACTCGTGCCTTGAAGGGGGTACTAATCTGTAATCTAATTGATAGCCTGAGCTCCAGCGAGTCCGTTTCGACAGTGACCCACAGTGTCTGCAGGCAGGCGGACCTACAGACTCCGGGAAAGGAGGGAGGCAAGTCAAGAGAAATAAAGTTGAATAAATATTTGCTCTGTGGCATCTACCGGAGAAATTCCTCCAGCAGGAAAACACACTGCAAATAAAGATATACCCTGTGCTGCTGGCTGTCCTTCCACTGCAGGAAGGCTCGGCTTGGTTTTGCCCCTTTGGGGCTCTCAGGCATCTTTAAAAATCCATCTTAACCACTGTGCCCTGAGCGGGGGACCCGTTTGGTCGGTGGGAATCACCCGATGCTCCGAAGCGAAGCTGTGAGCGCCCAGGGCTGCGTTGGGAGGAGGGGAACTGAGGGGTGTCAGGCAGGGCTGCCCCAGCACGGGGCTGCTGCCGTACAAAAAGCCGGCCGGTGCCGTGCAGGAGGGGATGCACCTGCAGTGCCCGTTTCTGGCACGCAGAAAGGCACGGCAGGTCAGGAGGGCGCAGGCTGGGCCGCCACCTCCCGCAACACCCAATTAAGTCAATTAGCAGGCTCCAGACAAGCTCCGGTGATTCAGCTGCCGAGGGCGTGCAGGGGGCTGCCCCCTCTCTTGGGGGTTTCTGCCCCGCGCAGCCGGGACCGGCGCAGGGTGGTGGGGAGATGCTCGGTCTGTCTGCGTGGCACGGTGGGACGGGCACGGTGACACCGATGACACCGACGGCTGTGGCTGCCGCGGGTTTAGACTTGCTTCGCTCCGACTCGGTTTGGTTATCACCAGCACGGATTGTCTCTACCTCCCTCATCAGGGAACCATTAGATTGAATTTGATAATGCTGGTAAAGCTCCGCTTCTCGGATGGCCGGTGTTGCCTCCAAAAACTATGGTCTGACTTGTCATTATTCTTTAGTTTTTGATGGAGAGGTTTAATTTTCCCCCTTTGTGCTGGCCGAGGTTTCTCCTGTAACCTTTGCTGTTGTTGTTTTGCACTGAGCAGAACATTGACTCATCGGCAGCCTCTGTGATAACTATAATTAGGAGAAAATGCATTTACAAGGCTCTTTCCTCTGATGCAAGCACATCATTGTCCTTGCAGAGAAATAATTCTTGCCATACTTTCAGGTGGGTGTGAGCAGCTAGTGACTGCATTTGACACTCATATGATTTAAGTGGATTTTCCTAGCTGGATATGCTACCTGTGGCGTGAGTGGTAGTCTGAAGCCGTCTTTATAGCCCCCACTTGTTTTGAGCATAAGTCTTTACTGATGCATTTAAACATAGAGGAAAAGAATATAAATGTATAGAGTGGAGTAGTGATGAGAGAGAGCATTGAGACCGTGTCATATACCCAGAGACTTCTTTAGTGCTTTTGAAAAAGTATAGAAGTAATGAGAAAAGAATTCACTGGAGTTTTGTCAGAACATCAGCTGGGGAAGAGGCTCCTCGGGAGAACGTCTCTGCTTGGCAATCCCTTCCCGCGGCTGTCTCTGAGCTGTGCTGTGCACGGTGGCTTGCTCTCGCACGGGGCTCTTCGAGCCCTGCTCTCGGCGGGTCAGATGTGTTGCCTGCACAGCTCAGCGCTGCTGGCCTGGCTGCTCCCCCCCTCACCACCCCCAAATCCCCTTCTGTGCCCCCAACGCAGGGGCTGAGGGCTCTGGCGAGTCTGCCTGCCTCGTCGGGGTGAGAGGAAAGGCTGGGAGCTCCGGGCATCCCACAGAATCACAGAACAGTAGAGGTTGGAAGGGACCTCTGTGGGTCATCTAGTCCAACCCCCCTGCCAAAGCAGGGTCACCCAGAGCAGGCTGCACAGGACCTTGTCCAGGGGGGTCTTGAATATCTCCAGAGAAGGAGACTCCACAGCCTCCCTGGGCAGCCTGGGCCAGG